TGGGTCCCTGGCACACAGGGTGGATAGACCCTATAGCCTGGGCCTAGGACTCCCACAGCCAGCAGAACCTTCTGGGACCCAGACTTGCTGCCCTAGTCTACATGGGCATCCTTTCTTTGATCTGGTCACCTCCTACCTGAAGTGACAGGAGAGAGAGTCGCTGGAGGCAGGTTGGAAGTTTTATGTGCTGGTGGCCAGAGAGCCTCCCTGACCCCATTAGCCATCTTCTGTGATGAGTGTGCCTACCCTGCCTTCCCTGTCTCCCAGCAGGAAAAAAAACCTCACACATAGGGGAACTTTCAGCCCTTGAAAAATGGAACAGAGTCTGAGTGTGACCGGGTATCCCAGGAGACAGAAGGCAGCCCTGTTTAAGGGTCTGCCTGGGATCCACCTCGGGCTGGTAGCAGTGACATGGTTGCTGTGCAGCCCCTCCAAGAAGCCTCTTAGGCATGGCTCAGTGCGTCCCAGGCCTCTCCAGTCAGCAAGTCTTTGAGCAGCCTAGGGCTCCTAGGGCTAGGGCTTCACAGCCTTTCCTGTCACCTCCATCCCATAGTGCTAAAGAGAGGATTTCTGTCCAGGTCGCTGACCTGATGGGAGAGCTCTTTCACTGGAGGTCCCTCAGCTTACATGTTTCATTTTATAATGGCCAGCAGTTCAGCTTGCTCTACAATAGGGTTCTGGCCAGTGAACGCCCCAGCATTCCCCATAGGTTAGGTTAGGTGGAATAACCCCTCTCTTCCTGAATTGTGAATTCCTCAATCAGACAGGCCCTGATATTCCATCAGGACATGGCCAGCCTGAGGTCAGGGAGGCCAAGGTGGAGCCCAGCTGTGCCTACAGATCCTAAGTAGAAACACAGGCCATGTCCTAGGGAGGTAGAGGGCCCTCCTGTGCAACCATAGGACCATGGGATAGACAAAAGGAGGGGCCATGACAAAGACAGAGCAGGGAGAGGCAGAGGACCTAGAGGCAGAGATGAGATGGGGTATAGAGAGGGACCAGGAAGAGATGGAGGGAGAGAAGAAGAAAGGAGGAGAGGGAGAGACAGAGAAAGAGAGAACTGAACCCTGCATAGAAACAGGCAGGGATACATGAGGGTCTCAGAGCAGTTTATGTGAAAGGGAAGGTGAAGCAAAGTGGAATTTTAGTGCCATGCCTTCCCAACAAGCTAAGGCTGGCAACCCAGTTCCTTTCCCCCTACAGATGCGGAGACTGAGGCCCAGGAAGGTTATGGGACTCACCACAGGTGGACATTTTGGGATTGGTTTTGATTGCCTAGGATTTGAGCTTAGGCTTGGGGAACCTTGGGGGAGGCAGAGGCCACCTCCCATTGGAGCCACACCTTCCCAGGATCTCTTGTTCCCAGGCCTTGAGCATGTAACCTGGAACTACCATGTCCCCTACACATCAGAGTGTCTCCTATGTGTGTCTGTCTGTATGTCTCTGCATGTGTGCATATGTGTATGTGTATCTGTGTGTTTGTGTGTGTGCATGTGTGCGTGTCTGTGTGTGTATGTGTGTCTGTGTGTGGGGGGGGTGTCAGGAGAATGCCATAGCACTTGTGTCAAAGTCAGAGGGCAACTTTGTGCAGTTGGTTCTCTAGGGACTGGATTCTGGTCCTCTGGCTAATGAGGCAAGCTCCTCCACCCACTGAGCCATCTCACTAGCTCCTTTGATATCCTTTCAATAAAGACCTTCTCTGCTTAACCTGGCAGTCACTTTCCTGGAGGCCTAGGTTTGGATCCTTGCTTTATTAGGAATTAAGTTACTTCAGGTCTCCAAGCCTCTGTTTCCCCAAAGTATAATATGGGAGTAAGCCCACATCTCTGTCATTAGGCCTGCTATGTAAATTAAGGACCAGCACAGACCAATAGAGACTCAGAGTAACAGAGGGAGCACTGAGGGGAACACAGTCACTAAGGTAGCTCTGTCATGTTGTTGCATCTGGGAACAGCCTCTTCAGGAGACCAAAGCTCTGATCTGCCCTCCTGCATCTGTGTCCACATCTGCTCCATCCATTCCAAGAGCTACCCGAAGCCTCGCTTCTACATTGGTGCTCTCCTGGGCTGTTCCTACCCAGCCAGCAGCTTCCTGAACACCTCTACTCAGGTGTCCCCTCAGTGCCTCAAAGCCAGCTCATCCCCCGCTGGGTTCAGTCATTGACTTTGTCCTGACCCCCATTATCTCATCTCCCTCCTCATCAGTTCCATTGCCTAAGGCCACTTGCATGGGAACCCACCTCTGTTCCCAAAGGATGCTGCAGTCATGCTCTAATCCCTCTTCTCTCCTAAGGACTGGTGGGGAAACCCCAGCTTAACTCTTCTCTGTCAAAAGTTTGCCCAGGCTCCCTCCTGTACCTACAATGAAGTCCTTTTCAGTGCTATGCATCTTCAGTCACCAGGCCTCTCTGGTCTCATCAGTTTTTGTCCTACATCCTGTATGATAACAGTCATTGATCCCCCAGCACAAAGCACATCCCATCTCCAGGCCTCTTCTCATTCTTCCTGGCCTGAAATACCTCTCTCTATGATATATCCACCTGCCAAATCAAACCTGCCTCAAAAGTGCAGCTCAGAGGGCCGAGTCCTCCCTGATCCTCCAGACCCATGTCCTGAGACTTCCTTAGACCCTCTTTCAAACTGAACATGTCACTCCTGGAGATGGTGTTGCCATGGGGTTGTGTGAGAGTTTTGGCTTCCTGCCTGCCTGAGGAGCACAGGAGATCTACAACTCCAGCCCAAGAGCAGTGTGGTTCGGGGGCGTGGGGTGCAGGCGGTTCTGGGACAAGTTTTCTGTGCTCAGCTGAGTTATAAGACCACAGGGCAGCAGCAGCAATCACTGCTATCAGTGCAGAGAAGTCCCTGTCCCCAGGCATGTCTGCCCTCAAAGGAGCAAGGCTTTGCAGAGGGGAGGGGGTGGTTGTTGCATGATTAGATTAGGGCAGGATGAGCCAGAGCTCTTCCCCCAAGCTGGACTGGTTTTCTCCCTGCATCCTTCTTTCTAAGGAAAGATCCCACCGAGTCGGCAAACAGAAGGAAACAGTGTGTCAGGGCTGACTGGAGGTAGGAGAGACATCAGTCACATATTTCCATTGCCACCCTCCCTCTCTAGAGCAACACCCAGAACCCAATTCCACCTTCCCCAGGAGCTAAGGTGCAGGCAGCACTTATGTCCAAATGAAGAAAATTGCTCATTAGACACCAAGGGCTAATTGCCCACTCAGTATCACCTTGACCTTTTTTCAATTTCTCATTTGACATGATGGGGGGGGGTCTGGTATGTGCTGTCCCCATCCCTCCCTCTTCCCATAACGCCCCTTCTCTTCCCAACCAGGGCAGTTAACACTCTGTGTTCATCTGTCTGCTGCAATTGTGAGCTTGGCCTCAATACAGTGTGGATGCTGTGGCTGGTGCATAGTACGTGCTCAACAAATTGGTTGTGTAATGCTGTGCTGAGCTCCATTCTGAAGGAGAGATCCAGACCCAGCATCGGGCAGTTGGGGGTTCCAGGCTGGTTGGGGTAATAGGGCTGGGCTAAAAGCTGAGGTAGAGTTCCCTTGGCTTAGTCACGTCACTTGGCCTAGATGGCATGAGGCTTGGCTCTGTCTGAATTAGGTACTTGCCCTCCACTGCCCAATGCCACAGAGTTCACATCCCAAAAATAACGATTTTGAGAGTCAGGCCTGGTTGCTTGAAGTCATTCCTTCTCTTTCATACCTCCTAGATTAGAATCCTCAGTTACTACTAGGGAACTCAGTATTTAGGAAGCATTTCTTAGAAGACAAGGAAATACTTCAGTGATCCCTCTACCTCCACAGACCCCCTTCCTTCCATTAGGAGCATCAGGCCCCAGCTTTCTCAAAGCAAGCTGCTCCCTGGGGATCCAATGGATCCCTAACACTGGTGCAACCCAGGGAGCATGGACTGGCCCGAGCAGGCCCTGCTGTCTTGCCTTTAAGCACCTCTCACTGTGAAGGCCTTCTCACCCTCAGAGAGCTCGGGCAGACATGAATGTACACTTGTGTATATATATTGATGGAGGAGTCAGACCACCATTCAGATATAGCACTGCTAGAATGTTGCACTGTGGAGGAACATAGAGTCTCAACAATATTGTGTTACTGGGTAGGGCTGGGCAGGTGAGCAGGGTGCTCAAGGTGGGCCAGCCATTGCAGCACCCACAGCCTCACACAGGGTTCCTACCTGGCTCCTCCAAGACCTTGCACTTGGTAGACATGTACACACACACACACACACACACACACACACACACACACACACAGGAAGATTGGATTTCCCCTCTAGAGGCTATTTAACCCCTCTTCTGCCCCTCTGCTGCCCTTTTCCCACAGTGTGCAGCACCATCTGGTGCTTGCTAGGTGGAAGAAGGGTGCAGGCTGTTCCTGGGAGGTGGGCTGCGGTCCTGATTCAGAGCCTCATATTACCTGAGGTTGCTTAGGAGCAGTGCTGCTCAGGGCCCGAGAGACCCCGGCAAGCCAATCTTGGGCATTTAGTAGGATTAGGGCAAAGGAGACACCCTATCCCCTTTGGTTTCTCAGCGACTAGGCTTTGTAAGTTCCCCAACATAGGAGCACACTTCATTCTTTTTCCCTCCTCATCTCTTCTTTTACCTTCCTCAAGAGGTGGGTGCAGGATTGAAGCCTTAACATCTATATGCCGTGCCGCTTTAGGGATGCCGGAAGCATGTATAAACAAAGAGATGAAGCCCTAAACAGGAACTTGAGGCACCTGAGCAGATAGTGCCGGGAAGCTGGCCCCACAGGAGGAAGAATTTCCCACTCCCTTGCTGAGCTCTTTTCAGACGTAACGGAACTGGGCAAATCACTGCCTTACTGAGGTTCAAAGCGCCACGAGGGAGGGTTGGGGACAGGGTTAGGAGGCGCCCCGCATTTAAGGAGTCCTTAAGGCAAGTGATAGGACCTATGGAGCTCCCAGCAGTTCTCCCCCATTCCCCGCAGACCCGAAGCGGGGGGCACTCACGGGTCGTGTTGTACTTGATGCCGTTGAAGTACTCGGGACACGGTCTCTCCACCAGGGCTCCAGCCGCGCTCTGGGGCCAGCACGTGCCGATCTGGTCCAGGGTGGTGTTGCAGTAGGAGTAGGGACCTGGTGGCCGGAGGGTGGGAGCGGAGTGGGGCTCAGCCCGGAGTCGTTCGCAGGTGGCGCCTGCCCCAGGGCCAGTCCGCTCGCCTCCCGCCTACCCTCGGGGTCCAGCGGCGGCCCCCAGCCGTCCAGGAGTAGCTCTTCTGCCAGCGCCAGGCTGCAGTTGGCCTCCAGCAGGCTGTGGAGCAGCGCCGCGTCCATTGCGCCCGGGAGCCGGAGCTGCGCAGCGAGCAAGTGGGGAGAGGGCGCCCGGCGTGGCTGCGAGGGCGCGGGCGCCACTGGGCAGCGGCGGGACTGCGCGGATCCCGGGTTCCAGCCCAGCCGGGACCTGCCGGGCAGCTTCAGGGAGCACGGCTCCGGGACTTCGCTGACAAGCGCCCAGAGGCGCACAGAGCTGCTGGGCGCTAGCTCCGCGGCGACCAATGGCGGCACCGGGGGCGGGGCTCAGCCTCATCCCCCCAGCTCTGCCTAGTCCCCCGCCGGCCGGCGCCCAGCTCTCCTCCACTCTCCCAGTGACGAGGAGGGCAGCCAGGCTGGTGAGCTAGGACCTGGGGTAGTCGAATGCCCCGTCCTAGGATCGAGGGTCGCAGGGACCCTATTGCAGCCTCCTGCAACCAGGGAGCGTCGTCAGCAAAGTTGGCTGGCCCACCCCCATTCGCCACCCTTAGTTGTTTTTTTGTTTGTTTTTTTGTTTGTTTTCCTCCTGGAGGAGGTTCCTAGGGTGGAGCAGGGGTGGACAGTCAGTTCACGTGCAGATTTGCGTCCTGGAAAAGACCTTCAGACTGTGAGAAATAAATGGATTGAAGGGACCCAGAGGGAAGTAGAGAGGCCACCGGAGTCTAAAAGAGATGGAGTGACTGAGTGGGTGAGGAAGGGCTGCACGATAGCAGCTGGGGTAGAAGAGATTCCTGCGCCCAAACTCAACTTGGTGAGGGGAGAAGGGACAGTGTAGGTGGCCTGGCGATTGGCTGGGCCTGCCCCTTCAGACTGCTCAGGTTGGGCCTGTAGCTCTCACCTGCTAACTGGGCTCAGGATCAGGAACCTGGCTTTGGTGTGTCTTGCTCTAACTCAGTCTGGGTTCCCTCTTGGCTCTGCCTCTCTTGTCTGCAGTGCTGCCCTAGGCAGGAGTCTTGCCTTCCCTGGTTTTCTCCACCAATGGCATGTTCTTTCAGGTCCCCATAGCCCAGAGAGACTATGGTTTTGCAAACCCCAAAACCTGTCCTGTACCCCTGCACACTCCACTGGAAGCCAAAGGTGCCAGTGAAAGGCAAAACCACCCTGAAGTGGTCAGTGCCCTAAGTAGGGAGAAGGCGGAGAGAAGGCCAGGGCCTTTGAGCTTTCCTTTTCCAGTCTCCCTAGCTTCCATATTAATGATGCTGTCTCTCCCAGGCAGTGCAAGTGAGCCAGTGAGAGAGTGAGTGTAAGGCCAGGGCTGAGCCCAGGAGTCTCTCCAGGGCCTGCCAACTGGCTGAGCAGCAGGTGTAGAGCTACCAGCCAGGTCTGTCTTCCGTCTTCCGCCTCCTGAATGGATAGTTAGGGCCTTGGCCCAGCTCTGAACAGAGCTGAGGCCAGGGTGGGGTTAGCTGAATCAGTTGTGCGCTCACAGGGATTCAGTCTCCCTCACTAGTAAAGGAGGGCCCTCCAGAGATACCATCACAGCATAGACACAGAGGAAACCAATGCAAGCACAAAGGGTTAACTCTGCTTATCATCAGTGGACATTTACCATACCTAAGGAGGTGATAAGCAACCAGTGACTTGAGACCAAAAATGCCGCCTTACATGCAAATATTTTGCAGAATAGGCATTGGCCTGGGTGACCTGCATTGCTTATCTAGAAGGACACACTTAAAATTTTCTTTGGGAAGTGACCAGTTCAGTGTCAGGGCCAAAGGCCACTCTTTACCCTGAATATGTGAACACCCAAGATCCCTAAGCTCTCAAAATGTAGGGCCATTTCTTTACAGTGTCATGATTACAGGCATAACTGTCTGTTATTCAAGATGTGGCAGAAGGGGAGCCAGAAAACATAGCCATTCTGAAACTTATTGATTTCACAGCTCACTTTAATGTTGGTCAGTATGTAAATGAGGAAGAAATTGGAAAAGAGACAGCACTTTCCTGAAATCAGACCTAACTGCAAATAAACAAAGCCCGGGTTGTTTTGCTTACTAAAGGATGCAGAGGTGGGTAGACATATGGTCCTAGGGCTTCAAGTCAGTCCTATTGCAGACTCAAGCTAGACACAAGGGGATAGGTATTTGGGAAATCTGTATGTCTTGACTGGTGGGGCCAGGAACAGTGAGCAAGTAGGTTCAGGGAAGTGTGGCAGATGCCAGGAAGTACCCTGTGTGCCACGAGCAGCCTGGGATGAAGCACATGCCTCTGGTGGTCTTAGGCCACCTCTGATGTCAGCTATGGTGATGGTGGATAGTGCCAGGCCAGCTTAGACACACCCACTGCACAGCTTCACATATGGCATCAAATAGGCCTGCAAAAGTACCACAGAGACACTCCGTTGTCATAATCCTGCATCAGGACCATATCACGCATTCTCATTCACTCTCCTTTCATGCAAATGCCAAGTGAACAAGATTTAGAGGGGCAGCCATTGCTTCTCTGAGGAGCTGTTCTCTGTGAGACTGTGCAGACAGGGACTCTAGTCAGATAGATCTGGGAACAAGTCATGCAGTCTCCTGGGAGTTACAATGGGGTATGGTACATATCTCTTGACCTGTGACAATAAGGACTGCTCCACACACACCTCATTTCACCTAAGGACAGAGGAAGTGGCATGGTGTTCTTATGCCCAACCATGGGTCTGAGCTGTGGGACCAGAAAGAGTCCTCAGTGGCCACAATTTCAATGTACAGGTGACAGTAGGATGATAGAGAAGGGCCATCTTCTCTGGTCCACCCTGCCACACTGCACTCACCTCCGCAGCAGCTCAGCTCTCATCTCCATAGGGAAGATAGAAAGGACTTTTATAATCTGATCACATGCTTAGTGATCATCTCCACCCCCCCATCCCTGCCCTCCTGCTGAATGAGACACCCTTCAGAAAACCTTACTTTCCTGACATCTCTGTATCTCTGCTGCACTGTGTTGGCTACTTAGAATGTCCCTCAGCTCTGCAATGCATTCCAGCCTCTCCTCTTCCTTCACCCACGCAGTTGTGGTCTCACCTCCCCTGTGCCCACTGCTCAAGGTACTCCTTTACCACCCCTATTTGTGGGGGCTGGCTTAGGTCTCACCAAGGCTGACACAGTTTCCATCATCAGCTCTATCAGCCCGAAGCTCCACAAGCAGGGTAGATCCTGTTCACTAAGTGTCTCCAACATCCCTGGCACCCATCAGAATGTTCCAGGCCTGGGCTCAGCCATCAATATGGAAAGAACAAGCTCTTTGGCCACAGGGTGGGGCAAAGCCCACAGTCCTGCCTCCCTGGACAGACTCTCTGCCCCTTTGACCATCCTTAATGTATGTGTGTGCATCTGTGTGTACATATGCATGCATGCATGTACATTAGAATGGGGAGTTACTTCAAGAACCCTTATAATGTTTATAGACAGAATAAATAATCTATGCCTCCCAATAATGCCCTAGAATTTTCTCAAATATATATAAATGCTTGTGTGATGAATAAACTAGAAATATTCCATTAAAAGCTTGCTGGAAGTTATAATTGCTCTCCTAGCCATGTGTTATTTTCATTTCTTTGGACCGCAGGGGCATACAGCCAAATTGGTCACAGTGTTTGATTCATGATCCTTTGTCACCATTGGCCCACACATGATCTAACTTTATTTTACGGTCTTTTCTTTTATGGAGGTTTGTGTTTAGTAGTAACTATAATGAGCTGGCCACCCAATCCTAAACTAGATATTACCAGTCCCATCCATATTCATTCATGTGTGCCTTCCCAGGGGAGCATTCTCTTGAATATTGCACTTACCATTCTCTTGCTCTTGTGTTTTTAGTTTTCTTAGATGTAAGTCTAAACAATAGTGTGTGTGGTGTTGTTGGTTTTGAACTTTGTTAGTTTCTCAACCAGTGGACACAAGAAAGGAGACCACTTGTATGTGGGAACTGGAGAAGCGATTGTGAGGCCCAGCAGGCATCTTGCCAGTTCACACGTCCACTCCAGGGCTGTGGCTAATGAGCAGTGATGCGACTGCACAGTGCTGCTAGGCAGTGTCACCAGCAATGGGCTGGATGAATATTTAATGACACGAGGAAGTACACATTCTCAGTTATTAGAGGAAAATGCAGGTTAGAAAGCTATGAACAGGCACATCTTAGTTCTGTTGAGAGAGAGAGAGAGAGAGAGAAAGAGAGAGAGAGAGAAACAAAAAATTCAAAAAGCAACATGAGGCTCTATAGATACTGAACTCCTTGGGGGTCTAAGACATTGTCAAAATTGCTGGACTGTGCGTAGTGAGCTCTTATGATTCAAAAAGATTTCCCACTAAGTAGCTGTGCAAGGTGGGCTGATGTCGGAGAGTTAAGGACCTTCTCCTCTGGACTCAGGTGAGGGGGGATGCCCTTAGCCCAGCAATAAGAAGGAAGGTCTGTTGAAGGGGTGAGGTGGGAGAGAGGGAAGGAGAAGGTAGGGTGTCTTTGAACAGTTGTATTGCTTCAGAGGGCCAAGAGTCCAAAGTGGGATTGCCCTCCTGAAGTGAGAGGCCTCTGATATCTGCTAGATGTGGCACATACTGGCTGTCTCCACTGTTACTCATTCAGCCTTCACAGTGTGCCTCTGAAGTAGACTTAGACCTTCCTTCTGACAGATGAAGAAACTGAGGCCAGGCTGTCTCATTGGCTGAGTTGTGAACCTCCACGTTCATATGCTAAAATCCTGAGTCCCAGTACCTCAGAAGGCCTCATTTGGACCCAGGGTCTTCAAGGGGCAATTCAAATAACATGAATGTAATTTGACCAGTAGGCCTAATCCAATATGAGGATTGCCCTTTAAGAAGAGAAGGTGGGAACAGATGCCCTCAAAGGGAACACCTTGTGAGGACAAGAAAAGTGGTTCTCTTGAAGTCAAGGAGAGGGGCCTCAGAAAAGCACCCAATCCAGCCAACACCTGAGTATTGGGCTAAGAGCCTCCAGGGTTCTGAGAAAATGAGTTTGCCTCTGTCGAGCCACCTGGTCTGTTGCACGTTACTCATATATTCAGGTGACTTGTCTAGAGCCCCACAGCTGCTGGATGGAGGAGCTAGGACCAGACTGGTCTATGACCCAGACACCTGAGCTCTGGACAGCCCCACAGTAGAAGGACAGGCAGTGGGACTTAGCTCTTTGATGCCTACCTCAGGCTGTGTTTAGATGTCCCAGAGCTGGCCAGCATTTCTGTT